GTCGTAAACAGTGGCGTTCGTGCATCTCCTCAATGTCCTTGCAACCTTAGACCACTGAGCCTTTCTATTTTCTGTTCGACTCCAATTTCAACTTTCCTTTCTTCTCCTATTCTTCATCCAAATGGGCAGTCAAAAGGCAGCAACCAAAACCGGCGCACGAAAGTGCATGGTTAATGGTTGTACAAACTGGAACTGAAAACAGGACGAAGCGTCGGTGCTTATTCGTCGTATCAGTGTATGCACCGACCGTTTGCAGTGAAATGAACGATGAATTCTACAAGGATCTCTCCAACTGCTCCAAAGTGCTCGGTCAACGGACCTCGTGGTAGTCGCTGGAGACTTCAATGCTCAAGTGGGATCCCTAGACGATTCAGAAAAGCTTCTTGGCGGACCGCATGCAATCCCAGCCAACCGAACTGACAATGGGGATCACCAAATTCAACTCTGCGCGGACTACGGATTGTTCCTGTCAAACACGAAATTCTCGCACAAGAAACGACTCCGCCCTACATAGAAACCATCAATTTCTTCACTGCGCTCGACCCAGATCGACCACATCGCCATCAGTTTGCGCTGCAGTTGATTGGTGCGTATGCAGCAATGATAAATAAGCACCTTTCATTATTTCTTCTCTTCCGTACACAGCCGGGACCTTAGAGCTTCGTTGCACACAAACCACTGTTGATTACATCGATCAGTGGGGCCCTGGCTTTACCTCTTTGCATGATTCCTACTCCTGGTTAACCCAAAGAGCGGGCTTCAACGGCTCCTAATGTGCGAAGGAAGTACTTCGAGGGCATACCTGGTGCACCCAGAGAGCTTATAATCCTAGGATCTTGGACTCTTGTCTCGGATACATAACAGTCCTCGATCTCCGAAGAGTTCATTGTACTCGCAAAACACACTTTTTGACCTATCTAAATCAGAATCTGCACTTTGAAGGCCCCCAGATTGAGAGGTTCACTAGACATCAGAATGTGCAACTTATTTAGTGGTAAGCTTTTTACAGTGCAACGACCTTTGGCGAGTGTTATAGATCGGGAGAAAAGACAGATGACAAGGGTTGGATTAAGGAGAGTTAAAGGTTGGGATCTCTGCCCATCCCGCTCTATGCAGAGATAGTTTCCTCAGATAAGTATACAAAGCCAATAACTGCTTGGGATAAATAAAAATTGGCAATTTGTTTGCACAGGTGTCATCACCATCCGTGGTGACATGGTCAATGCTTGTGAAGTAGCCACTCCATGGTACCATGCTCTTTCACAGGCCGATGATAAATAGGTGTTCTACGGTATAACAATAACCCCGAAATGACACTTGTACATGTATCAGTTGTCTAATATTGTATGTGTAATATTTATGCGTTTCATCTGTACGAGGATGATGGTTTTGAATAAGCGGTTGGGACGAAATGTTTGATGCATATACACTGCCCAATGTGACCTAACAATATCGTTTTCGTCTGCTTGTTTCAGTATTTGGAACTGAAGCCACGGGGTCGGATGAGCACCATGTTTGGTGACGCCTTGATGAGTCCAAGCGATCGAGCTGCCCGACAAGCGGCTCTAAAATCGGGTGCTCGAGTGATTAAGGTTGATGCTGCCGTAGGCAGTGATCTCCCCGGTGCATTCAACTGCTGCGGCCCGGCGAATGCGGCATCCGAAGCTGCTGAGAAGGTAGCTGCCATCTACGGAATGGATATAGACCAAGATTCTGAAATGGGTGACTCACACATCATTTCAATCGGCGATCATATGTCGGAATGAAGTCAGAGCCAGATTTGCGAATTGTCGCATCACATCGGCTTTTCGTTGGTGAGTTCTTGACATATCCATTTTCATTTGCGACAGTAACACGCTGCGTCAGTGTATCTATCTTTTGTCGTTCAATTTGCACTCAATTGCTTTCTTATCAATAGTTCCTAAATCAGTCGTGATCAAATTGGACGCCCGTGATTTTGGACATTGTGACATGCATTTGTTAATAGCACACCGGCCGGTATATGTTTCGGGGCGTATGCTGGTTTAGTCGCTCACAGTGCGTGCACTCAATAATTCACTGCTGCTATTCCTCTTTCGGTTTACGTGAAGTAAGCACCGTATTTAGCATGTAATGACTGAAAAGTTGTACACGCTCAATTCAGCTTATAGTGCTACTCATCGGTGGTGTGATCAGAGTGACTTTGGCTATAAAAAGCGCCAACTGAACTTCTTTCTGCGATCAAAATGTAAAAACAGTATCAGGATTCGAAACTTATATCATTTGTATCGGTAATTGTTATTCAGTTTACTTTTTTACTCAGCTTAACGCTTGTGACTTTTTCGTGTCTCATCTCGCCTACTATGTCATGCGCGCTTCGCTGTTGTCACGCTATTACCAGGGAAATTCAGCGGCGGAACGAAGCCTCCAATGAATCGTTGATTCCTAGTTTTTTTCCCAAACAGGCTTAACTCTCCGCACCGTGCCCTATTACCAGCTGCAATTCCGAGCTGGACGTAGTGGTCACCAGGTTACACAAAAATGAGGCGAGAAGTGTGATTAGATAGACCAGGTTTCTAGTCTTCCAGGATATGGACTCAGTAACTTGTTAGTTGCAGAAACTGAAACGTATGACAGTGCATCGAGAGCAGTGACATTCTTTCTGTTTTCTCTTATTTGACCAGAATGTGTATGCGCAGTTAGATCGTTTACTGTGTATTGACGATGGAGGTTTTCTTTCGCTCTCCTTCAGCAGATCCGAACCGTATGTATGCATTATGAGCTTGATGGCGATCAGTGAATTCCGCTTTGCTGTTTTGCAGAAGCCCTTGTACCCTTATTAGCGTTGAACCCCAGTTCATCATAGCTCAAGTCAGTTGTCGCAGCATTAATAATTTTACTTTACCCCTGTAGACCCTTTTTGAACTGTCGGTAGTTTATCAAAGTTATCAATATCTTCAAGCGGTTGCATAAGAATATCGTGCAGCACTTCCACTACACATGATCTTAGCTCAGAGAGTTGAGAAGCTTGAGGAGTGACCGCAATGAGTAATAACAATAATAATTTGGCTATTGATAACAGCCGCTGTCTTTTCTGCTTCGTGTGGAATAGGTCATAAGAAACCAAGGAACTAGGCAATTTAAGAAATTATACGATTAACTTCCAAGAACACCGTCTGGATTGCTAGACAAAACATTCTGGGACACCGTTCAGTCAGTCCCAGCCGTCATTTAGGTCATCAATTTCTACCCCAGGTGTTACCATCAGTGAGTTCACTGCGGCTGACTTCTTAGATAGGATAAAACGGCTCCACTATGTAATCGTGGCTACTCGTGCTGGGCTTTCGACGTTAAGGCCATTTCAAATGTTTATCCAATTGGTTATAGAACAATGCTTAACAAATGCGGTCATATTTACAGATGTGTCTGTCTGGTATCAGCGATTTTGAATGCGTGTTGACGGACCCGTCACGAAAAGATGTAATCTTGATGTGGTGTGGTGGCTTGTGCACCTCTATGACCCAACGAGCCACACAGGATCAAATCACGAATAGCGAAAGCTGGAGTAGCTTTCACCAACCTACGACACCTGTGGCGCCGCCATGACATCCGACTGTCCCTTCAGGGAAGGGTGTACATCGCTGCAGTTCGTAGTGTTCTGCTTTACGGCTGCGAGACCTGGCCTCTCCGAGCGGAGGATGCTAATCGACTTTCTGTATTTGACCACCGATGTCTGCAAAGCATTTCTCGTGTCTGGTGGGAACATCAGGTGAGCAATGACGAGGTCCGTCATCGTGTGTTGGGTGCGGATGGTCGTTCTCTAACGAAAGTACTCGCTCTACACCGCCTCTGATGGCTTGGTCACGTATTGCGTATGCCTGCCCATCGACTACCTTTCCGTGCTCTCTTCGCACGTGCCGGGCAAGGCTGGAAGAAGCGACGCGGCGATCAGACCATGACATGGGCTACAGGCATGAAGAAGCTAGTTTCAGCTTTGGTTTCGGTTGGTGCAGCCTGCCTTCTAGGTTCGGGCCCAAGGAATGAGGATTGTCGTTGGTTAGAGACGCTGAGAGATATGGCCCGGAATAGAAGTCAGTGGCGCGAATGCTGTACAGCCTGCCTGTCGAAATCCCATGCCCCGTAAACACTGCAAACAACAAAAATATTCAAAAAGTGTACGGTGAAACACCCCCAAAAATTGTTATTCCACT